CCATAACCTACCGCCACGCATTAACCCAACGGCGCTGCAGCAGCTGCGTCGCGATGCGAGGACGTGCAACGCGCCTTCCTACGACGTCCATAAATGAGGTTCCTTCTTCTTCTTTTTTGCTGCTCGTTCGTTTTTTTCGCGCGCATGCGTAACGCGGCGCCGCGGGCTTGTGCCCGTTGGACACTCCCCCGGGAGCCCCTGGACTGAGGGTTTTTATGGGTGCTTTGTGAGGTCCTTAAGGAGAAGTTTATTGGATTTTTTCAATTAAGGACCCGGGAGGAGGGTCCGTTTTCCCCCTACTTTTAATGGGCGGGAAAGATGATTTATCGACTGATCGAGTTACTCGTTGCAAAACTAAATTATTCAAAACTAAGGTTCGTCGTAAAAATGAAGAATATAGATCTCGGAAGGGTTACTCTTAAGTGAGTTTAGGTGCATAGCTCCTCGCTTTATAAAATGCAATTTTCTTCCTAGTTGATCTCACTAAAAATTTATAAATACTCGTGGTAGTTTAAAACTTTACTGTCTTAAATTTCTAAGAAAAGTTGATACTTTTTTTTAATTTTTAGTGCAAAATGAGAGTTCGAATACATTTAATTTTTACTCAGGCTGAGGAGTATTCATAACACATGCAAAATATCTAAGTTCTTTTTCTATTATGAGTAAGAGAAAGACAGTGTTTGTAAGAATATTCGAAATGTTAATGATATTGGGAGTTGTGAATTGTTCAACTCACAAATTACACTAAAATATTCATAGAGTATAAGACATATGGGAAGCGACAGCCTATCAAGTCATATCATGATCTTTAAAAAGAATGTATAGAAATTGATTAGGATTGATCTCAATAGGTAAGTTCGGAGTGGAACTAGAGTCTTATTCGAACATTAGAATATTTTTATAGCACTATTTTTTTTACCAAGAGAACTGCAGAACAATATTATCTATTTGAAAGAAAAAATAAATAAGTAAATACAAACAAATGAAGTAACTGCCTCGTAAAATCAGCGAATTTTCTCCGAGTGAGAAAGATTCGTCAAAAGATTCTGTCAACATTTGCGGTAATAAGGTTAGCTGTTCAAAGCCAATTTATTCGTATTTTAGAGACCCATCACTTGTATTTTCCCATAAAGTAAATCCCTATAGGATGACTAACAAAGGCATCGACACGCTGGGCGCAGAATGGTATCACCTGTCGAGTTATTCCAGGAGAAACGCGAGAGACTTTAACGCGCGGGTAGAAAAAAGAGCGCCAGTGATGCTCGGCGCTTTTAGACGTCTGCAGAGTTCTCTCTCAGTGATTACATAATCTTTGGACAGGAAAACAAAAATAGAGGAGAAACTTATAGTTCGTTTCAATATTCACAAAAAACATACATATTTGTACTTATTTTCTACACAAATTAAACTTTTTCGAAAACCGATGATAGTTGACAACGATTATTTCGAAAAAGTTTAATTTGTGCAGAAAATAAGTGTTCATAGTGCCGATAAAGTGTTAAAAACTGTGCAGTATGCTACAACATAGTGATGTATATTTGTCATGCTTTACGAATCATTTCAGGCCTAGAGTTGCTCTTCAGAAGTTCAGAGACGATACATTTCAGAGACCCCGCACTCTTATCTTGCCTTAAATGCAAAGTTATTTTTGAAAATCAATGCTGGGAATTCGCTTAACGAATTTCAAGGTGGATGTCTTTCATTTTAATGGAACAAACGTTGTTCAGTGATTAACATCTCTTTTTTAAGGTGGATCCTAAGCTTTGGCACAATAAATCCTGATCGAAATATTTCAAATTCTAAATATTCGGGGATTTATTTTGGAAAACTCTGAATTTTAACACTCGGATCAATTGCAATGTTCTTGCGGAAAGTTATTTTTCAAAATTTGAGAATAAAGTCAAAAGTGTTTTCACTATGCAACCGAATTCAGTGTATTGATATCTATGGTTAATCGTGAATAGAGTTTTTGGCTTTGTTTTAAAATTTTGTCGAAATATATCGCACATAACTATTTCCTAATGATTGCTGTAGATACTGAAATTTTGATTTTCCCAAAATAATTATCTAATGGTAAACATTTTAAACATACCGATCAAACTCAGAATGCAGTGCGCAAAAGCTGAAGATCCACCTTCCACATAATGGAGCAGCAAAAATTACGAGTCATCGCTTCCGATTGCAGCAACCGATATCGCATGCCCCCTCACGCAGGAATTACATTATTATTGTATAAATTGAGATAAGAAAAACAAACCAGGCCCATGTTGACAATTATTGGCAAGGGTCGACGATTGCTAAGACAGCGTTCTCGCGTAACGCGCTCACAGTGCTGCCATGCTAAAGAAAAACGCCGTATGAGCATTCTAACGTTGCCAAATTTCCTCCCAGGGAATAATTATATTTAAGGAAATTCATGCATATTTTTCGTTGAAATTTTTAAATATCTTAGATCTAATCATGAAAGAAAATGCTCTTAAAAATTCGAGGATGAATGTACATACATTTTCTTAAAAATACGTATTTAACAAAAGGGAATTTTGGCCGTGTCTAAATGCCCTTACGGCGTTGTGCGTTAGCACGGCAGATTAGCTCAACAACGCGTTGCATATCGTCGCTCCTCTGACGCAAGGTCTTATCTCGATTTTTATGTGAGCCCTATTGTCCATATAATTTCATGCTTTCCAGGGCTCACAGGGAAATTGAGATGCGGCCTAACGTCATAATATGCGCAGGTGGATGCGAGCATCTTGGCCAACGGCCAACGGCCACGCGTCGCACGCATGAGCGGACAGCGAAGCGCCGGCGCACAGTGGAGCGAGTCTTTGGAAGAAATTGGACATGAAATTTTTGACAAGAATGAATAAATTTCACGTTCGTTTTGTCCTAATTTTAATTTTCAGAGGTGCTTTTTACAGAAAATTTTACGAGGAAACCAACAAAACTACTTTTAAAACATCAACATTTTATATTAATGAAGATTTACGCTTTTAAAATTTTTAATTCATGTCCGACTTCTCCAATTAACTCGGTCCTCTGTGCGGTGGACGACGAGTGATTAACGACGGAGGACCGATCGGCGGACGTTAACGGCCGAGCTAACGAGTGCGAGAGAGATGAAATGCCCGGACCAGGAGAGACGAATAAATAAATTAGGACTAATCGGAATAGGTAGCGCTCGCACGCGCAGTCCTGAGCATTAAGACACATATCTTCCTTGCGCCTCTTGGACCGGCTTCACTTGCCAAGTTGAATGGGTTAAATTTGTCGGGGGTGGGGGAGGAAAGCTTTGTCTTAGGATTTTTAGGGAGCGCGGGTGAAAGTAAAGGGGTGGCACACGCGATCTTGCGAGGGAGGAATTGGAGGGATGCGCCATAAGGGACAAGTTCTGCAGACTTATCCCATGGGTGAGATCCTCCCACAGGAAGTGTATCCTCCCCTCTCGGCGAAAACAGATATAGTAAAAAGTAATCTGAATTATGATCCGTCCATTATGTTTTTCTTTGCAGTATCTCCTCTCCAAACGGAGAAAAATCTTTGGCTTTATAAACCTATTACTGGTTCATGTGGAACAACACTAAGTCGTAAATGAGCTTAAGATTATGGTCTATAAACCGTACTGAGGTATCTCGTAACATAATAAGGTATTTGCAAAAGATTTTGCTCAGTGCAGTCTCTTTAAATGAAGTATTTTGCTAGTGTTATTTTTCAGCAATGTATGTATGACACAATTTGCACACAGTTCTTCCCATTTTGCGTGTTTCTGTTCTTTGTTACATTAATTATTTTCCAACTTCTGTTCACAGACTGTGGGGACTACTCGAGAGAGGATTCAAACTTGCATTGGGACTAATTTCGGCAAAATGGGAACGCGACCCTTGAAAATCGGAATTCATACGTCTGCTCTGTGTAGATAAGGTAAGCCTCATCCACCACCTCCCTTCTCCTCCTGATAATAGATCCGCGTATTACGGTTTTAATGCCAAGACGCAACTTAGCAATAAAATTAACTCAGATCAAATTGGCCAGGAAGCATAATTCTGTACGATCCGCAGATTATTAAAGTTCAATTTAAAGGGAATGACCTCTTGTTCTATTATTCACGAAACTTGTCAACTATCTAAGATAAACTCATCGCTGGCACAACAGAACACCGTAACTGATGTCACAAAATTAAAATTTCTTTAGTAATAGTTTTTCTCAAGCATGCTTTGGATTTTGATGAGCAGGATATTTAAATGTGGATGAATATGGGAAACGCTATTTTTGGATTTGAAAACTTCTCATGTACCCACTTGCTTCTACTCCGTCTTTTGATGAAAAACTATGTGTGGAATTGATTAATTTGTCACCTTAGTGGTCTATTGCCTCTGCAATTTCCAACACAAGTTTGATTTTTGTCTCGCTCGTTCGTTTTTCTCCAAGATCGGGCAGTGGTTTTTTTGGGACAGCAATCAGTAGGCGAATCCCGATGGTGATGTCCCAAGAGTCCCAAGTATATTTTGTTGAATCCAAAGGTATATTTTATATTGGAGGGAAGATAGCTTAAAATATAATTTCTCTACTCTCCTTTCCACAATGCAAAAATAAGTTTCCTGTGTAATACGTACTTATCATGCTCTCGAATAGTCTAGCTTGATTTACCGCAGTGAGAAGAATTTCTCTCTTCGCGAATAGTGACCCACAGCGGCAAAAAACGCGGCAAATACCGTTATAGTATGAGCCGATGACATCTTGTTCAGACAGAGGGAAATGCCAAAGCTGTCACGCTCGGAGCGTGATCAGAATAACGAGGAATCTGAACCGCGTAAATATGAACTAATAACCGAGGAGAAGGAATTAGCCGAACGGCGACTCTTCGGAAATAAATTATCGCGAAAAGCGCCTCTTGACGCACGCAACTCCGCGCTTTCTTGACGCTTGCTCCCGGGCAGACGGCAGAGGTGGAACAGCATATGTTTACTCGTATGTTGCGAAATTAACATGAATTCCGATACCGTGGCTCCGAAGAAATTTGCCGACCAAGACAAGTTGGCAACCCAATAGCACATGGCGTTCGTAACATGTTTTCAAAAATATTCTTAAAAACAAAGTATCGTATTCGATAGTGATGGTTCGATGTATCGTTAGATTCAAACAATAGAACATAACCTGAAACGAAAATTTTAGGATTTAAGCGGGAAAAGCTAGAGATGAGAGTAGACCTACCAATTTAACTTTTCATTGCCATCTATATGCATAAGTATCAAAAATCTATCACAAGAAATCAGCCTCAGATTACTCACTTTCTTTTTGAGGCTATGTTTACATATTGAATCAATCCATATTGGTACAATCTCACCTCTATCGAATACGATCCATTCAAAATTTTACAGATATTTTACTATCATTAAGAAAAACGTAAACTTTTCAAAGATGACATTGAAACGCTGAAGGAGATGACTGATGGTAACAGGTGCACATTTTAAACGTATTCAGTAGTTTTTTTTTTTTTTTTTTTTTTTTTTTTTTTTTTTTTTTTTTTAA